CCCTCTACTAATTACTAGCTGATTGGTTTATCAGTTTCAACAGTGCCAGAGACATAAATTATCCCAGTCTAATAGAATTAAATTGGGCAGGTGTAGACTTTGAGGTATGGTATCTCGTGGTTTGTTCTGACCCCAGGAGGGCTCTTCTTTCTTTCAGATGAAGTAGCTGGCTTATGTTTAACTTGTTGCTCTTAATTAAGAGGAGGCATTTATTTTAAGATGTCCCTTAAGTTTGAGCTTCCCCACACTCTTTTAAATAAAGCCAGTTCCTTTGAGTAGAGCTTCAGAGCTCTCACTTCATATGGAATGCCATTTCCCCCTGGGCAAAACCCCTGACCACTATTCTGGTGGGTGTTCAACTGGAGGTAGTCTCTCATTGGCTTGGCTTAGCTTACCCAGGTTTGGACCCTCTGCCCTACGAATGGGCTGGGGCAAGGGCCATTGCAGTTTGAGGAGGAGGGAGTATTCACCTGCTTGCCATTGGAGTAGAGTTCCCATCCTGTGGATGGGGGCTGAGTGGAGAAAGGGAGCCCCAAACTCTTAGCTGACCACACTCACCAGGAGGGAGCCCTATGTTCTTGGCTGCACCCAGCTGCAGTGAAGTCTCCCTAAAGCTGAGGAAGAGAGGAAGCAGGTCTTAGTTCAAATGCTGCAGACTCTTGTAGTTTTCTGTTTTGTTGGCCACACCAGAACCACATAATTAGAGGGTTGGTGCTTTTTTTTTTTCCCCCCCCCAGAGAAGAAGGGAGAGGGAGAGAGAAATAGAAACATCAATGATGAGAGAGAATCATTAATCAGCTGCCTCCTGCACACCCCACACTGTGGGTTGAACCCGCAACCCGGGCATGTGCCCTGACCGGGAATCGAACTGTGACTTCCTGGTACATAGGTTGACGCTCAACCACTGAGCTATGCTGGCTGGGCAGATTTTCTTGACTAAATGTTTCCTCCTAACAAAATTTACCATCTTAAACCATTTTTAAGTATACAGTTCAGTAGTGTTAAGCATATTCACCTTATTGGGCAGCCAATCTCCAGAATTTGTCATCTTGCAAAATTGAAACTATACACATTAAACACTAACTTACCCCCACCCTGCCAATACCACTTATCTTTTCTCTATGAATTTAACTATTCTAGATACCTCACATAAGTGAAATCATACAATTTTTTGTGATTGGTTTATTTCATTTAGCAAGGTTCATTCATAACATAAATCAGAATTTTCTTTTTAAGGCTGGAGACTAGTAATAACTGTATATATATACCACATTTTGTTTACCCATTCATCTGGACACCTAAGTTGCTTCTGCCCTTTGGCTATTGTGAATAGTGCTGCTATAAACAAGGGTATACAAATAACTTTTAAAAGATCCTACTTTTAGTTCTTTTGATGTATACCCAGAAGTGGAATTGTGAGATCATATAGTAATGCTATTTTTAATTTTTTGAGGAACTGCCTTACCATTTTTCACATCAGCTACACCATTTTATACTCCCAGCAGCAGTGCAAAAGGATTCCAATTTCTCTACATTCTTGCCAAACCTTTTTGTGTTCTTTTTTTTTTAATAATAGTCATCTCATGGGGTATAAAATGGTATCTCATGGTTTTGATTTACATTCTCCTAAGGATTAATGACTTTGAGAATCTTTTCCTATGTTTATTGGCCATTTATATATCTTTGGAGAAATGTCTATTTAAAGCTTTTTAAAATCTCTGTTTCAGCTCAGATTTCTTTTATCCAAGATATTGGAAGGCTTCCTCTGAATCGACACTTTGGAAGGTAAGCTGATGATTTTAATTTTCAAAGAACTGCTACTGAAATATCCACTGAATATGTTATCTGTTTTTCCAGTATACAATCAATAAATGTTATCTGTAAAATCCAAGGAATATATTTTGGGCCCAGTGATTAAAGACCATGATTGCATTGTAGACCCATCATTTTATTACATATAAAAAAATGTATTTTCACCAGCTTACAGTGGAATATCAGACTAAATAGAATCATGGAATCACAAAGGCAGAGAATCTTTAAAATCATCTAGTTGAACAAATTTTGCATATCTGGAAACACCTTTTCAGCTTTCCTATCAAGAGATTTTCTTGCCTATATTTGAAGCCTGCAATGACCAAGCACTATCTTTTATTTACTTATCATAGAAAATCCAAACAATTGAGAAAATACAGATACTATAGAGTGATAAGCCTATATCTGTACCGTTCATTTTATTGCAAAATTGTTTCTGCACTAATAGCAGTGATTAACACAATATTTATAGTTCATTTCTTCTTAGCTTATTTGTAAGGTCAGATTATACACTCAGGCATTTATTTATTCATTTTAATCCTCACCAGAGGATATGTTTTATTGATTTTAGAGAGACAGAAAGGGAGAGGGAGAGGGATAGAGAGAGAGAGAGAGACAGACAGACAGACAAACAGACAGACAGACAGAGGGAGAAAGAGAAACATCGCTCTGTTGCCTCCCATACAACCCCATCTGTGGATTGAACCCTTAACCTTTTGGTATAGGGAAGACACTCCTAACCAACTGAGCCACCCAGCCAGGGCTGCACTCAGGCATTTAAAAAGAATTAAAAAGAGTTAATCACTGTTACTGGTTCAAGTACTTTATCTGACTTTGTCGGTGCTACTTATTACAATGACTAGTACTGTTATCTTTCATTTATGATGACCACATTTAACATTATCTTTGATTCACATTGATAATGTTAAATATTAATATTTAGCTTAATATTTTAATAGCTGCAAAATTTCCTATAATTCACCTGCACCTTATTTTTGTACATTTAGCTTACTTCCTACTTTTATCACAGCCTTTCTTATAGCTAAATCATCATGCACATCAAATACTATTTACAGAGGATGAAATGAAATAGCTGAATCATCGAATATACATCTTTCTGAGGCCTTTGCTCTATATTGCCAGATTGGTTCCAAGAACATGTTGACAGTTTTATGCCCTTTTACAGTGTATTAGCATGTTCTTTTCTCCTAACTCTTGCCACCACTGGGTCTTATTATTTTAAAAGGTCTTTGCCAGTTTAAAAGATGAGAAAAGTAGTTTGTGTGTTTTTTAAGGGAGGGACAGAAAAAGAGAGAGAGATTGATTTGTTGTTCCACTTACTTATGCATTCATTGGCTGCCTCTTGTATGTGCTCTGACCAGGGATCAAAGCCGAAACATTGGCGTATTGGGATGACGCTCTAACCAACAGAGCTACGGGGTCAGGACTAACAACTTAATATTTTCATTTCCATTTTTAAAATTATAAATCAGGTTGAACACTTTAGTTACCATTGGTACTTTTTTTCTGTAAGTTGTTCCATGTTTTATGCCCATTTTCTCTTCTATTTATCTTTTATTAGTTTGTAATAACTCTTTAGTAAAGAGATTATTCAACTCGTTTGTAGCATAAGTTGTAATGGTTTATTCACAATGTCATTTACCTTGTACTTTTGTTTATATTGTTAAATAAACTAAAGGGCCTGACTAAATAGTGAATAGAATGAAGGTAAATGAAAGCATCAGGAGATGGTTTCATAATCTTCATACTCATGTATAATTTAAAGGAATCTCCTTTGGTTATTATTAATGCCTGCATCATCAATCTGGTAGATTAAAAATGGAAGCCCTGACCGACAGGGAGCATGGACTGATGGACCCAGGAAGTGGAGATGAAGCCCAGTTTATCGGAGGACAAGCTTCAGAGGAAGCTGTGGAAGAATCTACTCAAACCCGGGAACCTGAAACCTGCTCTCTGCCGTTGAGTCAGAATAGTGGTAATGAACTGCCTGCCAGCCAGCCTCAGCCCTTCTCAGCCCAGGGAGACATGGAAGAAGAAGACGACATGAGAATAGAAGACTATGAGAGCGATGGAACATAGAAACCAGCCCACCAGTCACATTGCTACTTGACAGATTCACATTAGTTTTAGTCAGTGGTACTTGAACAGAGATATAATATATATTTCAAGTGAATTACAGTGTAAGTCTTCACTCTTGTAGTATTTCAGCACAAAACTGACTCTTCTCTCGAAGTAAATAGAAAAGCCTTCAAATATATCTTTTTTTCTCTAGTATTTATTTAATCTTGTGAGTGGTATTGAGAGAAGAGGCCAGTGTGTATGAAGTGTGTTTGAACATTATGCCAAGTATCTCAAAATGTGAAGGAATAATTCAGAATACAAAAAGTTTATGGGGTTGTAAGTATGAATTATAAAACAGCTTAGTATGCAATTATGAGTGTAAATAAACTTTGTGCCTTAATTACAGTTTCTCTATGGTCTCTTAACTTCTTGGATACCTTTTTTTAATATGTTGTACAATGGAATATTTTGGATACTTTTTGGAAAGTATTACATAATTTATATCAAAATTAAAGTGTTTAATGTCTTTCTGTTTCTCCTATCTTAATATTTCCTAACGTGTACTGTCTGCGGTGTATCATTGGGCATAGGATATGAAACTCCTTCATCCAGAGTCGAACTTTTTTAAAAAATAGGGAAGACTGGCTGCCTTGGCGGAGAACTCTCCGGAGGGTTAGGCACCCTTCACTACCGCCTGGGTCCTTACCTTTGCTTTGAGGTGCGGGCGGGGGAGTTGGGGGACGGGCACCGACCGGCCAGGGCTCCTAGCGGGGCCCCAACAAAGCCGGGCGGGGCAAGGCTTGGCTCGGCCCC